ATGTCAGTTTTCCCTTCTCCTTTCCGTTCTAAACCAGAAGTTTTCAGACAACGCTGCTGTGTCTACTTTGTTGAAAGACTGCATCAAGGACAACTCTGGGGTCATTTTAATGTCATAATAAAATATCTGTATTCCCTCTGCGGTTCATAATTATACACGTCATGATGACGCAAGGAAAGATTAACGAACACGGGATCTGTGATGAGGAAAGGCTGAAACTGTTTGGGGCTGCGTCGGTGGGAGTAACAAAATAAATTTGGATATATCAACAAAGTTGAAATGGTAAATTGGCCACCGTAACGATTACAAAAGCTGACGTTTCGAGCGTTAGCCCTTCGTCGGAGCGAACCATTGTAATGAGGAAAGACTAACTGACTTTTCATACTCATTTCTGCTGTAATTTGCCTTTGACGAGCGGTCTCTTTTAATTTGTTTAACAGTCGATGTTGCGAGTTGCAAACTGTTCTGAAACAGAAGAATACGAAAGGATTTAGGCCACATGATGTAATCGTGATTCGTGAACCATTTTGTTTTGCGTGATGAATTTCAATTAGAACAAAGGGAAATATCACAAGGAATCAATCAGAACAAAGGTAAAAACAAGTAAACTGCCTGAAGCGCGGGAAAAAGCGCGGGACCAAGTCGCGTTTGGTTTCAGTTTTGAATCTGATTGGTTGAGAAAGTGACACGAGCTTTCTGGACCAAGCACAGAGCGAAGTAAAGCAGAAGCAAAGCAATTCTGGTTTACTCACGACACCCAATTGAAAATTGCACTGTTGCATCTGATTGGTTGAGAAGTTGGCGTGGATTCTCTACACTAATCGCATTAAACCAAAGCAATCCCGAATTCCTTTTAACATACAAGTCAACATTGCAATTAGCAGGGAGGAAATTTCGCTCACCTCAACAACCACAAATCTTACTCTAAAAACACTTAAACGTCTTTAACTGTGTTAAACAAAATTGTTAAAAAAAACTGAAGATAGCTCTGTTGCATCTGATCGGTTGAGAAGGTGGCGTGGATTATCTACACCAATCATATAAAACCAAAGTAATCCCAGATTTCTTTTCAAAACACAAGTCAACATTGCAATTAGCAGGGAGAAAATTTCGTTCACCTCGACAACCACAAACCTTGCTCTAAAATCACTTAAACGTCTTTAAGTGTGTTCAGTTTTTCTGTATTGTGTACACATTAGGTGATATTAAGCCCAAACTCACGAAGCCGACCTGGCCGTATAAACTGTACATTCCTTTTGCATGTATAAATTAAGATAATTCAAGTTTCCAGATTCTCTCTCCTCTGTAGGATTTCCAAACAAAATTAAAGTCTACTTTTGGTGATTTTAATTATCCTATCTCTTCTCTTTCCACAAAAATACCTTACTTACACAACTTACACAACTAACCACAATGGCACCAAGAGGGTGAGGAGGGGGTTGGTACCGAAACACTTAGTGCATTGTATCAGCTGCTCCCGTGATAACCAGCTGCAAAGTTTTGAATGCTCAACACAGGCTGCAAGTTTAGGTCCGTCTATCACTGGCTGAAAGTTTTCCCACGCTTATCAGTTATTACCAGCTGCAAGTATTTCCCAGTTTTTAACTGGTTGAATTCCGTCCAGTAAATTGTAGGTTTTGAACAGATTTCCCTTGCTTAAAGTGCACCTAAACCCAAAATTTTTTTTTCGCTTAACGAAATAAGCTTATTTTTTGGAGTATTTCTGTGCAAAAATTTTTTAATTTGCTCAAATCTTTAATTTTCTATGCCCAGTCAAAATACGGAAAATCGGCCGCCATCTTGCCCCACGACCGAGTTTAAAGAAGAATGGCTCTAGCGGGTAATGTGACGTCAAATCGAGAACACGAAAGTCTGCATCTCACACATTTTCACTTGTTTGGGAAGATTGTCGTCGATATTGTCCGAAATATGCCGACTAGGTGTGTTGTATGAAGAATGTATGAAGCGCGATACCCTCTTGCAAATTTCGCACGTTGCTACATCCTTCTACAACACACTTAGTCGGCATATTTTCGGACAATTATCGACTACAACCTTCCCAAACAAGTGAAAATGTGTGAAATGCAGACTTTCGTGTTCTCGATTTGACGTCACATTACCCACTAGAGCCATTCCTCTTTAAACTCGGTCGTGGGGCAAGATGGCGGCCGATTTTCCGTATTTTGACTGGGCATAGAAAATTAAAGATTTGAGCAAATTAAAAAATTTTTGCACAGAAATACTCCAAAAAATAAGCTTATTTCGTTAAGCGAAAAAAAAATTTTGGGTTTAGGTGCACTTTAAACTATATAAATAAAAAAAAAAA